TCTTCTGCCTGTCTAACGTCTCCTTCTGCCTGTCTGACGTCTCCTCCTGCCTGTCTGATGTCTTACCATCCCTGTCTGATGTCTCCTTCTGCCTGTCTAACGTCTCCTTCTGCCTGTCTGACGTCTCCTCCTGCCTGTCTGATGTCTCCCCATCCCTGTCTGATGTCTCCTTCTGCCTGTCTGATGTCTCACCATCCCTGTCTGATGTCTCACCATCCCTGTCTGGTGTCTCCTTCTGCTTGTCTGATGTCTCCTCCTGCCTGTCTGATGTCTCACCATCCTGTCTGATGTCTCCCCATCTCTGTCTGATGTCTCCTTCTGCCTGTCTGATGTCTCCTACTGCCTGTCTGATGTCTTACCATCCCAGTCTGATGCCTCCTTCTGCCTGTCTAATGTCTCCCCATTCCTGTCTGATGTCTCCTCCTGTCTGTCTGATGTCTCCTCCTGCCTGTCTGATGTCTCCTCCTGCCTGTCTGATGTCTTCTCCTGCCTGTCGAATGTCTCACCATCCCTGTCTGATGTCTCCTTCTGCCTGTCTGATGTCTCCTTCTGCCTGTCTGATGTCTCCTTCTGCCTGTCTGATGTCTCCTCCCGCCTGTCTAATGTCTCACCATCCCTGTCTGATGTCTCCTCCTGCCTGTCTGATGTCTCCTCCTGCCTGTCTGATGCCTCCTTCTGCCTGTCTGATGTCTCCTTCTGCTTGTCTGATGTCTCCTCCTGCCTGTCTGATGTCTCACCATCCCTGTCCTGACATCTCTTTTGGCTACCTGTTGGGCCATTCTTTCTGTTAGCCATTTCTTCCCGACCATCGGATATATCTTCCCTTCCAACCAATTTTCTCGCTTCTTTGCCCGTTGATTTCTTCATGTCCTTTGCTTCTTCTCGCTTGTCTGATGGTGGTTTCTGTTTTTCTAATGCTTGCTTGTCTGAGATCTCCTCTTGCACCTCTGGTATTTTCTTCTTAGTACTTGAAACGTCTCCCTTGACATCTCTATTTTGTTTGCCTGGTATTTCCTCTTTCTTCTTTGTTGCCCCGTCCTCTCTGTCTGGTGTATTTTCCTGCCCATCTATGATCTCTTCCATTTTGTCCAATGTCTCCTCTTCCTTGTTGAATGTATCCTCCAGCTTTTGTAGTGTTTCTTCTTGCTCATTTAGAATGCCCTCCATGCTGCCAAACGTCTCGTCTTCTTTCTCAAAGCTTTTCTCCAGCTTTCCCAGTGTCTCCTCTAGCTTTCCTAATGCTTTCTCCTGTCTGTCCGATATTTCCTCCATTTTATGCAATGTTTCCTTCTGTTTGTCAGATGTCTCCACCTGTCTATCGGATGTACCCTCTCCATTATCTAATGTCTCCTCCTGTCTGTCAGACGTTTCTTCCTCTTTAGCTAAAGTCTCCTCCGGTTTGTCAGATGTTTCCTCCCCTTTAGATAATGTCTTCTTCTGCTTGGCAGATGTTTCCTCCCCTTTAGCTAATGTCTCCTCCTGTTTGTCATATGTTTCTTTCCCTTTATCTGATGTCTCCTCCAGTTTGTCAGATGGTTCCTCCCCTTTAGCTAATTTCTTCTGTTTGTCAGATGTTTCTTTCCCTTTAGCTAATGTCTCCTCCCGTTTGTCAGACGTTTCCTCCCCTTTATTTAATATCTCCTGTTTGTCAGATGTTTCCTCCCCTTTAGCTAATGTCTCATTCTGTTTGTCAGATGTTTCCTCCCCTCTATCTAATGTCTCCTCCTGTTTGTCAGGTGTTTCCTCCCCTTTAGCTAATGTCTCATTCTGTTTGTCAGATATCTCTTCCCCTTTAGCTAATGTCTCCTCCTGTTTGTCAGTGGTTTCTTTCCCTTTAGCTAATGTTTCCTGTTTGTCAGATGTTTCCTCCCCTTTAACTAATGCCTCCTGTTTGTCAGATGTCACTTCCTCCCCTTTAACTAATGCCTCCTCCTGTTTGTCAGATGTCAGTTCCTCCCCTTTAGCTAATGCCTCCTCCTGTTTGTCAGATGTCAGTTCCTCCCCTTTAACCAATGCCTCCTCCTGTTTGTCATATGTCAGTTCCTCCCCATTAGCTAATGCCTCCTCCTGTTTGTCAGATGTCAGTTCCTCCCCTTTAGCTAATGCCTCCTCCTGTTTGTCAGATGTCAGTTCCTCCCCTTTAGCTAATGCCTCCTCCTGTTTGTCAGATGTTTCTTTCCCTTTAGGTAATGTCTCCTGTTTGTCAGATGTTTCTTTCCCTTTAGGTGATGTCTCCTGTTTGTCAGATGTTTCTTTCCCTTTAGGTAATGTCTCCTGTTTGTCAGATGTTTCTTTCCCTTTAGGTAATGTCTCCTGTTTGTCAGATGTTTCATTCCTGTTATCTAATGTCTCCTCCTTCCTGTCAGATATCTCTTCATGTTTATCTAATGTCTCCTCCTGTTGGTCAGATGATTCCTCCCGTCTTTCGGATGGTTCCTCTTGCGTATCTGATGTTTTTGCCTTGTTATATGTTTCCTCCAACTTCTTGAAATCTTGCTCTAGCTTTTGTAATGTCTCCTCCTGTCTTCCCGATGTTTCATCCTCTTTGTTTGATGTTTCTTCATGTCGGTTTGTTGTTTCTTCGTCATTTTCTGTTGATTTGTCTTGTTCCTTTGGCGTTTCCACCAGCCTTTTGTCCTCCTCCTGTCTGCCTGCTGTTCCATTGTGCCTGTGTGATGTCTCCTTTTTATCTGATGTATCCTCCTGTATTGTTTTCACCTGGCTGTCTAATAACGTCTCCCCAAACCTGTCTGCTGTCTCTTCTTGTCTGCCAGGTGTCTCCTGTCTCTTCGATGTCTCCCCCTCTCTGTGTAACGTTTCCCCTTGCCTCGCTGATGTATCCTGCTGACCATTTGATGTTTCCTCGCCCTCCTGACTGTACTTCCCAGGGTATGGCAGAGCCTTCCGGTCGACTGACAATTTTTCCCCGCTCGGTGCAATGGTTTGTTGCGTCTTTCCAACAAAGACCTGTATGTTTTCTGACTCTTTACGCCCGGGTGATTGTTGGCTTCCTTGTTCAGTGTCCTCCTTAGTACTGTCCCCCTGGCCAGAATCCTCGCGGTCGTCGGAGTCGTCCAGTTTGTAGATGATAACTCTCAATGTACCTAACCCAGGGTCGCCGGAAGCCAACTGAATTTCAAAGTCACTGATAGCAGAGGAGGCGGTTTCCGAGGAGGCCAAGGTGTCCGCGTCTTCCTCTTGATCTGAACCTGTGTCTGGATCAGTAGAACCTGGATCGGCAGAATCTGGATTAGCAGAACCTGGATCAGCAGAATTTGGATTAGCAGAACCTGGATCAGCGTTCAGGAGTGTTTGAACTCCCTGCAAGGCATCTTTGGATCGTGCACCCCGTGTGTCTTTCCACGGCGTGGTCGGTTGCTCTTCTTTATGTGAAGCGGCCGGTGCCACATTGTAAGATTTTGGAGTCTGCAAAGACGAATGCAATATAGGGTAAGAACGCGTATTCAATTTATTGTAAAACAAGTCATAGCAATCATGGCAGAATATGAAACAACCGGCTGCATTTGTCCCACCATTTGTATTATAACCATACAGAATTATGGTAGTTTAACATCAACCCACAGGATAGAGGCAAATGGCGGGCTGCCATCAAGCCTCAGCATTTGGTATGCTATTACGTCTAACCGTCGGAAGACGGGAAACAACAGACGCTAAACCGGATCGTAGTGAGTGAGTGTGAGTTTATCATTGCTGTCATGTCGGATTTTCTTGAAGCAAACATTTGTGGGGTTGCCGCGAAAAGTAGACGTCTCAGCCTAGTTCGTACCTACAAAAAGGGTCGAGGATTCCCACAGTGCCGTGATTGCACCTGTATACAGCGCCTGTCCTTCTTCACACAACCAGTGTAAGAAAGTAGCACTCTGTAAGCTTAGAATGAATCACGGCCTTTCAGATACACCTATCCAGAAACCAGCCCACCTGTCTAAAATATGTTGATGTACACACGATCCTTTGCTCAAACGTCCGGCCTCTTCTTACGCAACAGTCTCCACATACCAAAAACTTAAGTGTCCTTTGTCCTCGATTCGGTTCATTAATGTCGTAACAAAGCAACCCTTTCTAAAATCTACAACGTGTGTATGGAGAGTGATACCTTGTCTTGGTGTTCCTTTTCTTTTTTTGTGTGTGTGTGTCTGCCCGACTTTATATCAATGTTGGCTTAAAGTAGCAATTCTATGAAAGTTTTCAATTGCCGACTACCACCATGACATACGTATGATACGTCCGCACCTAATGTTATACATACACACCCCACCAACATATTTTCGGTTACACTTGATTAATATACATGTATCTTCTTGGTACATCTACTACATGTTACCTTTCTACTCTACAATACCCCTCCGCCTTTTTTCATGCCCCTTGATTAGAGGGATTCCACCATCTGGTATTGTGTACCGCCATAGATTTTTCGTCCAATGCGTTCTTGAAATCAATTATACAATGTACTAGTACTTAACAAGTAATATAAAGCATTTGTAAGCCATTTAAGATAACTACCCTAACAATGTCCTTGATGTGTATTGTTTTTTTTACTAGAAAATGTTGAAGTGTGCCTATATCTATGTGCAGCGTATCATATAGTGCTCGACATGGTACAAGCCAAAAGTAGTCGATACTTGCAGACAAGGCTACATTACAGCTTCTGGTAGTAGCCTCTTGTTTGTAAGTTTTGGTGTAACGTTTGCAAACATGTCTGACTTGCTGGAGCCCATACAATGGCCTCGGGCAATATTCCATTACAGACTTTGAACATCTGGGGATCTGTCGACATTTTGCAACATGTTTGACCACAGCAAGTACAATACAGCTCCGATCCATGAAGATTTAAACGGTTCTTACCTTGTGTTCGGGTTGCCCCTGAGACGTCTTCTCATAGCCAAGTTGTCCTTTCTGCGTGACATCCTTGTTCAAGACGTCTTGCTGCTGTCTATCTGTAAGTCCGGTTGTTGTCGGAGCTGTGGTGCCAGTCCCAGGCGAACCACTGCCGTCTGTCGACTGAGACTTCGCCGGACTCTTGTCCACAACAACATACTTGATAACTTCGTTCTTAGAAGTTCTCTGACGAATCATTTTTCTGTCGTCAGGTCGGGTGTTAGAGTTGGACTAAAATGTCGACCCTGGGCGTTAACGCATTTACATTCTGCCACGTCGCCTGCGCACCTACACAATTATCTCTCGCCTGTTGGGACCCGAATACGCAGGTCGGGTTAGCCGCAGGTGGTTTCACAGGGAAGAGCATTCCGTCACAGGACAATGGCTTTATCCTCAGGCTAGCTCCACAAAAGGTGCATGTAGGCGTACCGAAGGCCAGAATTGGGTACATCGGAGTGTCAACACAGAGTAGTTGTTGACTCCTCGAAAGCCGGGACGCGTGAAACCAAAAAGAACGTATGATGATCAGAGGTGAGAAGAATTTTCCACGTTTTATTCACGGACAGTTAAACTCATGTAACGTTACCTGTAGTTCTTCTTTTGATCCACGATTCCTGCCGCCTGTACTTTTTGCACAGTGTGTAATATTAGACCGATACACAATTTTCTGGTCATCATGTGACAAAAGTTGGATCAACCCTATAGGTACTCCATTGCAAATAAATGCCATTCAGAAAGTGGATGGGCCAAAATATTGCACCATACGAGTGTGTTCAAAACCTGGAAACACAGCTGTCATCTATTTGTTTATAGTCTTGTAGTTTGTGTGTACCACATAATGTCAGAAACACAAGACATTATAAATTGCACAAAGATATTGAAGAGTGGAAATTACAATCACACAAAAATTTGTTCCATTAAAATTTGTCAATTTTCGGTGCAGAAATATTTACATAATGTCCTTTACAGTTCATACGCGAATGTCAGCACGACGACCCACCTTTTCCCGATTTCGGGCAAAACTCAGTAAAAACTCGCCAGGTGGCGCTTTTGTATATTCTTCACACTTGATGCGCTCATCCTTGACACCGCATCCAAACGCAAGCTGCGTTCCTTCCTTGCTGGAAACGAAGCCTTGGCGGCCCTTGTCCGTTGTTGAATTTCAAGGAACTTCTGAGCTAGGTATGTTCACGAATACATCTTAATGTCGTGTAAATACAGCATAAACGTTGCCGATACCATACGTTCATCTGTTTGAAATCCATCGGGACCTGAAAATGCAACGTCCGGGTTATGAAACCTTGCACCATGGTAACGTTTGGGCGTCCCGACCTTCCTTTCTAATTTCTATTCAAGAAAATTATCCAAAATTTGCTTGGCTTGTTCAAAAAATCAAAATCTAGAAGACGTGTTGGATAAGACGATATTACAGGTTGACAAGGGTTACGCAGTGTGTTATGATAATAACGTAAAACACAGGCAATATGTCTAAATTGCATGTTACATGCTTGTAATGTGTTTATTTGTTGTGTAAATATGTTTGATTGCTTCTAATAATCGTTGTTTTTTCACCTAAAGGGAGTGGGGCACTCTTTGTCTGTCCGTCTGTCCGTGTTTCGCAATTTCCAATGTACACAAGGCATTATTAAAATATTTGGTACTGCAGTGTTTTTTTGTCTATGCAGATTAGAATGATAGTATGAGTAAGGGGTGAAGGGTAAGGGCACTAAGGGGTGAAGTCTGCCATCTCTGATCGTTGATACCACAGTTGGATACTCTAGTTAAGTCCCCAAATGCAGTAAGATCATTGATATAAGCCATAATAGGGGGGTGTCCCAATTATGCTTCACAAAATTCAGGAAGGCAGTTGGGGGGGGTCACAGTGTTTGAAGTTTATGGATGAAACAGTTCTGTAGTACAATAGAAATAGATAACAAATTCTGTGTCATATATCATATCATGGAAAGACTTAACGGAAAGTGTCAGCCTAGAAATTTACCCCATGAAACTAAAACTACTGCAACCATTTCAATTATGATATTTATTGTGTGATCTTTGCTACTCTGTAACCTTAATTAAACTTATCCTCTTCATCCCTTGCGAGACGTATGACTTTTTCTTTCCATCTGGGTCTGTCCTTGGGTTCCTATTGTTAACTGGGGTCGTGTGGCGCAGTCGGTAGCGCGTTCGGCCCACACCCCAGAGGTCGCGGGTTCGAACCCTGCTCATGTCACTGATCTTGTGCCCTTGGGAAAGGCACTTTACACGACTCTCCTCACTTAACTCAGGTGGAAATGAGTACCTAGCTTCGGTTAGGGACGTCCCTCGGATAGGACGTTAAATGGAGGTCCCGTGTTTGGGAGAGCCACACCCCATGCACGTTAATGATCCCACCGCACTTATCGAAAAGAGTAGGGGATCTTCCCGGTGTGAGTGGTTCAAAACCTTACAGTCCGGTCTTACGCAGCTTGTACATGTACGCACATGTACAAAACTGGTGTGTTACGCCTAAAGGCGGTTTACCGGTTATGCGAAACAAACAAACAAACAAACAAAACTGATCGCCAGGATAATCCCATGGACCAGGCCACCTGTCACAGTTCTTTTTCGTGTGGTTTTGGCCTAGCACGTCGGCAGAATGTACAGTGCATTTGCGCAAAACCCTGATTTGACTCACTTGTCCATCTGATGAAGCTATTCACCAAACAAACAAAGGATGGCCTGGTAGTCAGTCCAGGTAGCCGGGCCTGGGAGCCATCATGGGTTTTTTTCATAAACCCCAGGTTCTATTCTTCTTTTGCTTCCCAAATCTCGTGCATACAAACTTAGAAGATGAAAGACTCTTTGATCAGTAAGCTCCTCAAAGGACTGGAAATAACAACTACCGGGAGTGGAGTTTTGTCAAATGTGACACATTTGACATGTTTGCGGGCCTACATGCCCTTTTCCGTAGAGCGTAATCTGCCATTTTAATTATACGTAGAGTGTAGACTGACCGCTCTAATTCAATGTAAAGCATAATTGGCGCATTTTGCATAAAATGTAATGCGCTTTTTTAATTCTACATAATGCGTTGTAGCTACCTGGAATTTATCATAAAGCGTAATGGGGAAGGCTTCTTGAATTCAGTATAATACGTATACGTAGCCGGCTCTCAATATTCATCATAAAGCATTGTCGGGACCCCCCATGCAGGCCCTCATGTTTATGTCTGTGTTTCATGATGACCACTTGAATGGGTAGGTTCCTTTTTTTCAGACACTTTCCACAGCCTGAGACCTTAGATGAAATGAAATGCCCTGTTTAGGTAACAAAAGAGCAGCCATGGTACTTTCATGTACTGGTCATACACACTAATTGCCCGACCCTTTATGATAAGGAGCTATTGTTGTATGGCATATATCCTTATTGCCCATTCAAATGAGGGGCTGCCTTCAGTCAAATGATCAAAGAACCTTATTATTAAACCAGTTCTTACCTTGTCAGCCCCACGTAGTGTAGGTTGCTACTTCGGTTCTTACTACATCGGTAAAGGTTAGACATCCAGGTAATAAGATATGCCAAAAAACAGTTACAAAAATGTACTCGAGCAACTGGATATGATTTTGGGATCCAAAATCATACCCAGTTGCTTGAGTAACTGTTTTTTGGTTAATATTTCTTACTCATTCAATGATTTATATGTATTACTTACTTTTTGAATTCCAGAAATTTTCACTATATTGAGTTTCCATATACTGTACATGTACGTAAAAAATTCAATGGATACAAACACTTTTGTGTGGCATGTGAAGCACCTTGTGTTTTTTACAACCAGGATTCTTGTAACAGGCTCTTTTGTCCCACCACACAGATTAGTGGAGTAAAATGGCGGCCATGTCTGACGTGGTTGCGGTGTGGGAGGTGGCACTGAGCGATGGCGTACACAAGGTCCAGTTTGAACACGGCACAACCACGGGCAAGAGAGTCGTAACCGTCGACAACAAGGTAAGTGGTATAAAACATTGAAGTCGTGTTGCTTCAGATCAACTACAGATATGTCTTCCCAAGGCCACACCAATCCATCTGCTTGGATTGCAGACATCTTATTTAGGCCACACCAATTTAATTTGTTGGTTCTCGGATTCGCCTCTTCGTTTTGTTCTGATTTGCAAAAAAAAAAAAAATATATGATTCTGGTTCTGAATCAACTGAAAAATGCTCATGTTTTGCCCCCAACAGTTGAGGAAAGTCCTTCTCTTCCTAGTTGTTACAGTTTTCCAATCTATCATTGCAGTGGTTTGATTAAAAGTTCAAAATTCAATGTTTAAATTTCAACCCAGCCTTTTGTGTCGACTTCATGGCTCATTTCGTAGCATTTAAGCCTATAATAGGATGCCAAGACCTGTTTTTATTTTTATTTTTTTCGCCCTGTCGCTTCATATTTTTTCTGAAAAAATCCGACAACCAACAAATTAAATTGGTGTGGCCTTAGTAAGCAATGAAGCAAGTAGACAAGATGAAAAACAGGTTTAGTAGGAAACCTGAAATCTGATATCTAGTTAGAAACTTACACTACCAGGCAAAGTCCAAAATTGAATACTAAAAAAAATAACAGCTCCCCTATTTAAGGACGTACAAAACGATAGAAAACTGCCAGTCACCCATATTAAAGGTCTGTGCAAAACTATTTAGGGGTGGGGGAACAATTTCAGTTAGAAATACCAATGCAACAAAAATATGTCATAACAGTATGAATATCGTACTGTTTTCAACACGTTTGAAGACCACTCTTGGACTTACAAAATAGCCAGGTTCTTCCTCTTTAAGATAAAATTGGAAGTATAAGGATGGTATTAAGAGCTAGAAAATGCAGGCATCATTTTCAACATGATTATTCGTAACTTAATGCTCCCAGGAATTGTTGCGGAGAAACTGGATGTTCAAGCTGGTGGGAAAAGAGTCCTTCACAATAGGCAAGGGTCACAAGGCGGTTATCTTCATTGAGGCCGTCAGCGGGTTTGCGTACCAGTACACGCTGGACGTTGACGGGAAATCGCTGGAGAAATTCATCGAAAACCGATCCAAGACCAGCAAGACCTGGACACTAACCCTGGACGGTGTAGACACCAGAATTGTACTCGGTAAGTTTTTTTTTTATCTACTAGTACCTGGGAGTGATTTTAACTTGAAAAAGACTTCTAAAAAGTGTTTCTCAAGTTAAAATTCCTTTCTGTGTGTAGGGGCGGTGCACATCTCCATTTTTGTAGCCCTTAGGCCATTACAGTAGGGGGCTAGTCAGTGTGTTCAACTCCCAAATGCTTTCTCATGAGTGCTAAGCAGAGAATACAGTATGTACCATTTTTCAGGTGTTTGGCCCGACCAGGGTTTGAACCCCAAAACTTCTGAATGCAGGGGAAACACACTACCCAATGACATTTGCACTGGTCTTTTCTTACAAGATGTACATGATTGTATGTAATCAGTGGTGTTGTCCATGGGGTTATACCAAGGAGCTTCAAATAGTCTACTATTAAGTAACAAAAGAGTAACAAAAGAGTAACAAAAGAGCTTTAAAAAGCTCTTTTGTTATACTTGGAAAATGTTGAGAGGAAGTGGGAAAAACAGTCATTTTTGTGTACATGTACTGCCCCACATTGGCATGGATTTGTATACTCATATAAGCTCTACTGTTTAATTGAAGTGTCAGAGGTAAAATCTTAAGGAATTGGTACGACTATTTACCAGAATAAGCCACTTGCATTCATTTGATGTTTTCATGAGGGTCTGCATGGGGGGTCCTGATTACGCTTTACGCTAAATTTATGGAGGCTCGCAACGCTTTACGTTAAATTCCGGGAGGCCGGCAACGCTTTACGCTAAATTCTGGCGCTAAAGTAGTGTCTGTCATCTGCAGGCCCGGGTCTTGCTGGCTGCCTTCTTTATCCCTTGTTGTTCGTCTATTTTGTTTATAAACTGACTCACATTAGTCACTTCGCTGTCTTGAAACACAGACGACTCCACATTGCACGGATACTGGGTCAGAATCGACCCTGTATGCGATAAAATGTGCAAATCACGGGCGTCGCGTGAGCCATGGTGGGATTGTACCGCACACATGGACCCAGATGGGACAGGCAAGAAAGGGACAGACAAGATGAAGATGCAACTGAGATTGACTCCAGATGTGCTCCCGCCACCCGGCCAATACTGACCAATAATAGCACAGAAGTCCACTGATGTCATGGGTGTTCTCGTGTCCAGGTTAGACAATAGAAATCCTGGGTACGACATTGACCCTACAGAAAATCCGCTGGTGGTTGCTGGTTCGTCCGCTACGGCTTACGAAAAATGGGAGTCCAGACTACGATTTACGAGGAATTTTTAGGCTCGATTACGCTTTACGTGAAATGCGCTGGCTACGTTTTACGTGAAATTTTCGCCTCCTCACTACGAATTACGGTAAATAAAATAACTTCCCTACGAATTACGGGAAATTAAAAGGGCCCGCCTACGCCTTACGGAAAAGAGCATGCAGACCCTCTTTCATGTACATGTACATCCTAGCTGACCTTGGCTATCCTTGACCTGTTTATTGTTTCTTTATTCAGAGAAAGACACGATGGATATCTGGTGTAATGGCAAACAGATGGAAACTGCGGTAGGTACACACACATGTAACCTGGTTACCTGTAGTAGTGCAAATATTGCCCCAACTTTCAGACCTGATCTTTGCCTTCATGCATGAGTAAAGTGTTGTTGGAAGTAGTCTGTAGCAAAGCAACAGCACATACCATTCTATCACCACTGTCAACATCATGTAGCAGGGCATTTAGTGACATTTTCCTGTCAGTTCTGAAATATTGCAGTTTCACCTCCTACTGTACCATTCTTGACAATTGACTGTTCCTGACTGTCCATCACAATTAGCTGTTCAACCAATGATAGCATGGCAATTAGCAGTTCAACCAATGATAGCATGGCAATTAGCAGTTCAACCAATGATAGCATGGCAACAATTAGAGAGTGGCTGCATGTTTTAATGCTTGAAGCAAGCAGGTTTAAACCTCCTTGCTTGAAGTTAGCTGATGGTTTGCTACATGTATGTGTGAATTATACTCTCCTTGGCTCCCTTCTATAATATTTGTGATATACAGTACATACATGTACATGTGAATGTTCGTATATTGATAGTACAGTAATGTAGAGGGGCCAATTTTGTTTTGCGTTTCTAATTCTTTCAGGGTGAATTTGTTGACGACGGCACAGAAACCCACTTCACTGTTGGCAACCACGGCTGCTATGTCAAAGCTGTCAGCAGCGGGAAAAGAAAAGATGGCATCGTTCACTCACTTATCGTGGACGGAAGTGAGATACCTGAGGCCGTGGAGTGACCTTGGGATAAAAAATGTTGAGATACTTTGTGTCTGACCGTATCACAGTTTACCATCAGGTTGGTCGCCTCCAAAACTTGCGAAATGTAAATACTAGAAATGGCTAAAGGAGAATAAATAATTTGCCAAAAGTACTGGTCATTTAGGCCACACCAATTTAATTTCTTGGTTAACGGATTTTTCTAGAAAAATAATGGAGCGGGCGGGCGAAAAATAAAAAAAATAAAAACAGGCCTAGGCATCCTATTATGGCCCAAAATGGTACGATAGGAGCCATGAAGTCAACACACCAGACTGGTTCAAAATTTTAATAATGAATTTTGAACTTTTAATGATACCATTGCATTGAAAGATGGAATAACTGTAACAACTAGGATGAAAAAGACTGTTTTCAACTGTTCAGGGCAAAATATGTGAGCATTTTGCAGTTGATTCTGAATTTTTATTTTTATTTGCAAATCAGAAAAAAATGGGGCGGGCGAATCCGTTAACCAAGAAATTAAATTGGTGTGGCCTTATAATGCAAAAATAGACATTATTACTATGACTATTATAACATAATTACTATGTTTTACCCTATTCCTCTGGGTTGACAGATGATCAGATGATGACTATAAAAGTTATGATAGCTATATAGAAGGTATCAGACTTTCAGTTGACCTGAAAAACTGTACTGTACATTCAGGAAGTAGTTGAAATATAAATCTTTATCAAGTGCCGTAAATTTTCACAGTACATGTAGTTTTATTTTTTATGTTGACCTCTTTTTTTTTATACTGCAATTGTGTTACCACTGTACTACAAAATTGTGTCAACTACAAAGCTTAAAACACAGCAAAACCCATCTTTCCCCTCCAACTGTGAAAAAGCAAAGCAGATGAATTTACAGTACCTTGTCTCTTTTCAAATTTAAGACAAATTGTTTTTTGGTTGAAGAGGTTGGTGAAAATTTTCCCTGGAATGACAAATTCCTTTGGCAAATTATTGTCCTTGGCCAATTTCTACAATTTTTCCCCAAAGATGAGTTTGATGGAAACTTCTGTCATGGCATCTTCTAAATTTGCCTTCCTACCCACTGACTTTAAGATGTTTATTTATTTTTCTAAGTGTAGAAGGTAGAGACTAAAGGTAATTATAACAGTAAGACCGACAAGTCTGTCTAATCATGACTGATGTTTGGGCACACAAACCTGATTTTATGGAGAACATCCTTTCTTCTCTTGCTTTTTGTCTTGTTGTTTTAAGATCAGTTGCAAGGTTTGATTGCGAAGCTGGTGTGTTACGCCGTAGGGCGGTTCCATACCACTACAGATACAGAAAGGCTGGTAGAACAAATTTGAAGGTGCATGTAGCTAAAATTACTGTAAAGTACTACATGTAAACTATGACAATTGATTGTAATGTAAAAGGACAACATCTGTAGTTTTTCCAGTCTTACACAGGGCTCTAGCCAGCACAAAATTTTTTTCTGTCAGCCCGTGCAGGTTCATGATCCAGGAGGGAGGGCTGTCCTTTTTCGAGCCTTTAAAAAATGCAATTCACCACATTTTGAGAGGCAAATCATGGGTGTTTTTATATTTTTACCCATGATTTTGTCAATTTTGTCCATCAAGGTTGACAGATTGGTTTAAAATTGTTTCTGTCACATGCCACAAAGTTCCTGCAATTGATGGGAAAAGGGGTGCTGGCTAGAGCCCTGTTCTTACACTACGATCTTTTATCTAAAGAGGATGTCATCCATTAAGTGAACTTTTGGGGGCCCATCGTATGTTGTTGGTAGTCTGGGTCAATTTACTCATTATGATAAAAAGCCACAGATTGATGAAATTCTTCAGGAATTTTACGAATTACAACCTTTTTATCGACATTAATATTCTGTTACACATGAAGATGAACATTCTGTTCTGTACATTCCTGCCAGAAAACTTAGAAATTATATTGATGTGGTCGTTGTGAACTTAAGATTAGTTTTAAGACATATCAATAGTTGAAGAAAGAGTAAACTTAAATGTAGATTGTGCTGAGGTTTTGATGACAAGTCTATGAAGACTGCTAACATATAACAGTAGTACATGTACCTCAAGATTATATCGAACAGTGATAGCATCTACATGTAATAATATATTTCAGTCTAGTTTTGTAATTTTGACGTCTTTCCTGTGTACAATGTCAACTACTGTATTTTAAATATAAAACACAAAGTTTAACTTTAACTTTGGGTACTTGCCAATTATAACGTCTAGTGTATTACAAAATGTACAGTAGACTTGAGCATACTCATGTTACAGGTGGTTTTTAAGTGTTTGAAAAGTTCAAGTGGCTTATATTAAAATAGCTTACAGTTGATAATTGTAATGGGATGGTATGATAAACCGATGTGTTAAGAGTTTAAGTGACATATCAAATATCTAATGACATTGTAAATGATCTGTTGTAACAATACAGCTACATTGATCTATTGTAGCAATAAGCTTGTTCAAGGTTCCAACTTGGCATGTGTGGTGCATTGTGGGTAATTTGTTGAACTGTTAGGGGCCTTTACCTTTGACCTTTCCCATGCACAGTTAAAACTGTAATATAAGCTGGCTTATGCCCAAAGTAAATTCATGGTTCTCAGTATTATATGAAAATGGATGAGACAAAAAAAGGAATTGTAAATTTATTTTAAGGCCACACCAATTTAATTTCTTGGTTAACGGATTTTCTAGGAAAATAATGGAGCGGGCGGGTGAAAAAATAAAAAAAATAAAAATAGGCCTAGGCATCCTATTATGGCCCAACATGGTACGATAGGAGCCATGAAGTCAACACACCAGGCTGGTTCAAAATTTAAACAATGAATTTTGAACTTTTAATGATACCATTGCATTGAAAGATGGAATAACTGTAACAACTAGGATGAAAAGGACTGTTTTCAACTGTTCAGGGCAAAATATGAGCATTTTGCAGTTGATTCTGGATTTTATTTTATTTGTCAAATCAGAAAAAAATAGAAGCGGCGAATCCGTTAACCAAGAAATTAAATTAGGTGTGGCCTAAGCCTCAGAAACTGTTAGGTCTTCAGATATCAATGATTGNTACACTTTTTACTATGAACATTCCAATTGATATCTATAAAATAAACACAAATCAGGTGTTGTG